ATTTCAGTTTATTACCACATTTTTCATTGCGAGAGGAAAGCAAATCAGCAGAAATGTTTTGCAGAATAGGGTGATTCGGTTTCCATGGCAACTTTGGCAACATATTGTTCAGTGTATGTTTTGTATTTTTCATAGCCGCTTTTGGTTTTGGTGTATTTGTTGTGGTTATCATTTCAATGTCTGTAGATTTCGCCCATGCTATGTAAAATGCATGGACATTGTTATGGCGTGTCCGATGTATATACGTATATACCAGTCCAGATAATCAATTACCGAAAGTGAAAGTGGCGCCAACCAAGCTAGTCAACAACGGGTTTTACACCATCTCGATGTTGAAGTTGTATATTGGCATGAGTATAGTTTGAATGCCCGTACATAGATTTACAAACAATATTTGGGACTGGGAGTCTTACATAATTTGGACTCGCTCTCGTAGTGTATGTGAACCTATAAGAAATGAGGGACCTATCACCGCCTTATTATTGAATACAACGGTAGCAAGCTTAAGCTGAGAAGCGTCACCTGCAGTGATGGTTATCCTAGCCGTTTTCAAACCATCTTTAGTGAACTGGTGTGAGCCGTACAATGTAGTTAGTATGTTCGTACGTGGATTTACGTTTTTTTGTAAGCTGTTTTTATTAGATAGAGCATAACCTTGATGCTAGGAATAGATTCACCAAATTCACAGCATTTCTGAGATCTCCATACATTTGACAATTGGTTTTGACGATCAGATTACGGGCTGTGGAACTGCTTGAAAATTGGGTTGTCTCGATCGGTTTGCAGTTGGGAAACTCATATGACTGATTCATTGGTTTAAATTGTTTTCTGGCATCGTAGTACTGTTTCCAATCACATCATGTGCGACGGGCTTCTAGGTTGTTTGTCATGTTAAGGTTTTAGAGTAAGTAGGAATGAAAATGTTGAATAGTAGTAACAATGATAAAAGAACTAGTTGTACCTGAGACATTCAAATTCTATCCTGGCCTTCAGCACCACAATATGTGACGGGATGAGATTACTATCGTTGTGTAGATGATAATGGAACCACATGTGGCATAATATCGATTTTAGAGATTCATATGTTCTTGTATATCTCAGCGCAAAACACAACACATTTCAAAACAAGAACCACTACCTCCAAAAATTAGTGTTAGCATGTTTTCGAAGCACAAAACAGAAGAATCAATTTAAAGTTGAAATTAGTTATAGTTACAGTTACAGTTACAGGGCCTAAGATTAAGAATAGAGACGCCAAAAAAAACATCTAACTTAAACATCATAACATTAAATCAATAAATATTATACTTTGTAATACAAAGTTATTCAAAACAGTTGCACAGTAGATATATGGATGTAATATGAATTTGAATTGTTTATTGCACTGCGTTATAGAAATAATATGGCGTCGATAAAAATCAGTCTGATACAGTCTGATGATCAAGTTAAGAAGTTAAGTTATTTTGGTAAGCTTACAATTAATCACCTCAAATTCTAATCTATTAAATAGTCAATTAAATCTCATGACTGCACTCTGTCACAAAAAAACAATTGTTCGTTTAAAAGAAACATTGGTTATGCATTCTATGTCACCGATTATCTCTAAATTTAGCCTCCGATTTGAAGAGTTGACTTACTGAACGCTTCTTCTGCTCTGCTTCAGAATACCAACAAATAAATAAAATAAAATAAAAATACTCACCCTTCAAATAAATATTTAACCCTCTTTACTTCATCTATAGCAACACGGTTTAATCCTTTAACACCCGCCCATACGTTGGTAATCTGGTCACATCTGAATCGATCTAGTTTTTTACAACCAAGCACTGTTTTTCCCAGAGAGTTGGGATTTATGTATTCACATCTGTTTGACCACACACCTTCGTTGATGAGAGAACAAAGGGTCTCCTCTGTGTTTTTACCATCGCTGTAGTTGGCAGCAAATCCAAGAAGTTCTTCCTTTCTCTTCATTATATCTTTAATATAAGTGATAGCCTCCCTTGTAAAAGTTAGTGCAATATCTA